TATTTAGGCATGATAAAAGTTGAACAAACTTACTAAGGCCCCAACTTAAAATGGGTCATGAGTACTTTTGGCCCATGATGGTTTGATCATACACATTTGACCTGTAATTTATAACCTGTAAAATTGTAAAATTAATAAGTCATGGATTACGCTGAAAACGTTTTTGTGGTCTAGAAATCACTTCTCTCTTATAAGGAATTTCTTATGCATGTTGCCTGGAGATGTGGCGCTTGTATTCAATTCCAACGTTACAAAAAAAAGAAAAAAGAAAAAAAAAGAAAAACAAAAAATTGGTCATGTGTTACCTATTTAACCTGCAAGACTTTTAGATTTAAATTGTCTAATCATTTAATTTATGACCTGAGTCAATATAAACCAAAATTGACCCACGTGTTTGTCATGTTTTATGGAGCTGCTTAGGTATCCTTTACACCATAAATTACAAAATTTTAAATTAATGTCACGTGTAAAATATTTTTTATTGGTTGAAGGAGATTAAGCCATGTTAGATTTAGATATTTAGATTCTGGGCCTCATGACAGATCAGCACTTGTGTTGGCAAAAGAGGAGAGATAAAGATAATTTTTTATGGAGTAATTATCTTCTTGAGATAGAAAGGGATAATGGGAGCTGAAAGGTAGGAGAAGATTGCAGTTAAAAAGGGGGTTTTATCTTATAAAAGTACATGTGGCAAAATCTGCAAAGAGATTAGACCAAGTCAAAGGGTGAGTTGTCCCATTATCTCAAGAAACCACCCATGATTGAGTAACTGCAGAAAGTGGAAGTTATTGCCGGCACATGGAGAGCAAAAAGGAAATTTTTGGAAGGAAGAACACACGGCCAACCCTACACAAACATCTGCAAATTTTCATACTTTTATTTTCTCTGCAATCTACTTTCAGATTTCGAATTTCAGCACAAATTCCAGTAGAATTAGGTTGTTTTTCATCATTCCAGTAGGCAAATTAATTCATGTATTCAGTTCAACAATTTCTTTTCATGCAATGAATTTCAATCTTTCAAGTTTATGTAAGGTATTGTTCACTTTCCATTTGCAATTAATTTAATGTTTATGATAAGTAGCATTTTATTCAATGATTACTTATGTGGTGTTCATACCTCTTTTGAACCTCAAGCATGGTAGTTTAATCACTGTTTACATTAATTTTAATGTTAATTAGGGTAAAGTCTTTAATTCTGCAGCATTTTAATTTCCAAATCTGCCAGTACATAGCATTTTAATTTAACAATGAACATATTTAGTTTAATTTGAGTAGGGCTTTTTCTCGCAAATTTACTTTAAATTGCAGGTTATTTAGTTCAATTAGGATTTGTTAATTTTAAGTCACGGTAGTGTTTAAGTCCTTGGAGTTGTCCAAAATAGATTTCATAACCCATTCTGTAGGAGGGTATCCCTCCCTCTTACAAATCATCTGAAGGCACAAATTTCATTTTAATCCAACATTCTTCCCACCATCTGCAAAGAGGTCGACTGTGAGGAAGGAGAGGGTCATTGGGAAAGTCCTCTTTTTTTACTTTCAGCAAAGTAAGTGGCACGACCGCATCCAGATTTCACACGTGCAAGGCCACTAGAGGATTTTGGGGAAATAGGTATGATGGACCTTTTTTTCAACTTATTTAGTTATAGCTTCGCACAAGGCAACAGGCACTGAGGTGGGGTGTGGTTGCCAGCAATAACTTTCCCCTTAGACAAGTTAATGGTTGTTTTGGTATTTACACCTCAATGTTACACTGCCTCTTACCAGAATTAGTAATCTCATTGACTTTACACACAATTTTAAATAATGCTTCTATATAACATCTAAAATGACAATTAGTTAAATATATTTAGTTCTTGTTTAGTTTTATTTTATAAAAAAAATTTCAATTACATAAAATTACCTGCAAGGTCAAAGTAAAACAGAGTTTTTATTTGAATTAGTAACAAATATAAAGTGGAGTTACATTTTTAACTCATTTTATTCTTTCACATACACAATGGAGTCGGCAGTTTTAGCTCATCTTGAGCCTTTCTCCCTCTTATTTGGGAAGGATTAAGTTTTTCTCTTACTTTCCCCATTGGGACCCATTTATAAGTTTCAACTTTCCCTAACTTACTCTATTGTCAACTTCTTACTTTAAAAAATTAATGTCCAACAAAACTTCATTACAAAAGTGATCACTCTCAAGAAACAAGAAAAAAAAAAATTTAAGAAAATTTTGCCTCATAACATTCACCCCTAGATTTAGACCAAAGGCAGGCCTAGAGGTGAGGTGATATGAAAACGGCCTAGTGGATTCTCTCGCCCCTTGTACCAAAAATAAGAAATTTCACGTTCGAGGTTCAGAGTTCCTTTCATTTTTTACTTTTTTTTTTGTTCTGGGAGAGGAGGGGTGGGGTAGGTGTTGGGCTTTAGAAATTTAAGGTACGAAGTTGAAAACTTGAAATGGCTTGTAAGCTTATGGCAGTTAGAAGGGAAGAGGCAGAAGAATGCACTACAAAATCTGCAATCGTTACACATATCAATAAATTCAATTGTTGTCCATGACAGCGGATTGATGCCGATCATCATTGACAAAAAGTGTATACATCAGAAACCCTATATTCACAAAATTTCCTAAGACTTTTTCCCATGATCGCTACCCACTTGATATGGAAGGGTAATAATACATGCACTAATCTGCTGCCACAAAAAGAAATGGGTCCCCTGCACAAGAGCAGGGAACCCATCAAGAGAAAGAAAGTACAAGAAAAAGGGAGATGAGACCCCTATACAAAATAACTCTATATCTGTCTCCATCTTCCCAATAACCTAAGCAGTGGTAATATACACGATCCCCTAAATCTAAAAAGAAACAAAATAAAAATGAGGCAGCATTGCTTCAGTGAATTTCTAATCTGCAATTAATATCCATTTTCCCTTTAGCAATGTTGTAACCAGCTCCATCTGCATGTAATTCATATTATTGTTACTCTTCTTTTCTCCTTAATTTAAAGTTATAATGAATTGCTCGTGGACAAAAAAGAAAAAAAATATGTTTATCTTATATAAGAAGAAGACAACAAGAGAGGGAAAAGAAAATATCCAGAAAATGAAATCAAGCAGGAAAGTTCAAGAGATTGAAGACAGCAGCAGCAAACTAAGCCTATATAACTCCACATTATAGAAGTGTCAATTATGTCAACCCAATAGATGTGTCAATGTGTCAATTATCTGCTTAAGTCAAGCTATAAATGCAAGCAGCTAGGAAGTTGAAAGTCAAAATTACCTGTACACTGTTGTTACAAGGGCATGCCAACCCAATCTTAGCACAACCGACTGTCTGGAACTGCTCAATCCACAGATTGCTCATTCCAGCTTAGAATTAGAGGGCTTGTGATACAAACTGCCCTGCACTGCTTGCAGATGCTGAGTTTGTTGCTGTGGCTGCTGCTGAACGGACAGCTGCTGTGCTGATTGTTGCTGATCTTGCTGTACTTGCACTTGAGAGTGGTATTGTTGCTGAGATGGCTGTGGTGTGGGAGGTTGTTGTAGCTGTGGCTGTTGCTGCCACCGTGCCCCAACATTATGCCCTTCAGGGGGCAAGACTCCTGATAATTGCCTCTGGCCTAACCCTTGGCTGACTGAAGGTACCGGATCACTCTCTGCCGAATTTGTAAGAGGTGAGTTCCCAATGGATCCCATTTGAACAGCCACATTTGGCATACCAGGATCATGCCCTGCTTCAGTAGCCTTCCACTGAGGAGCAACAGCAGAAGAAACAACTGGCAATATATTGGCAGCCTGAGGCATTGCTGCAGTTCCTGTTGCGCCCATTGGGGATGAACTGTTGACAGGCTGTTGATCAGACTGTGGTTCTGCTTGTGCTTTGCTTGGTGGATCAGAATGCATGGATCGATTATTTTGAAGCACTCTCTGAACCGATGGTTGAGATGGTGAATGCAAATGCTGGTGGTTGGAAGGCACAACAGCTGGCAGCACAGCTTGATGAGCAGCTGACAGTGAATGACCGGTAGGAATTGCAGAAACCTGACCTTGAGTACTATTATCAGAATGAGGTGGCTCCTGCTGAAGTTGCTTTGAAGGGGGTGTTGTCCCAGGGAAAAACTTCTGCTGTGGCTGGGAATGATTTGACGCTTGTGATGGCATCAGCGGTTTGGATGGTTGGGCTGGGCTCATGCCAGAAGCAGAATACAAGCCTTGACCCTGCACTAAGTGCCTCATCTGCTCTTTCTCAACATTTTGGTTACCTGGGGCCATGGAAAGGCCATTCAGATGAGAAGGATCAACAGAATGGTGCACAACCATATTCTCTCTTCCCATTCCCTTCAAAAGTTTAGCCTGTTGTTGAGATTGTGTTTGTTGCCGCTGCTGAGGGTGACAACGGCCAGATTGCTGAAACTGCTGCTGCAGCTGTCTCTGCCGTTGCTTGACCATCTGATTTGTCAAACCACTAGCACCAGATTGAGGGATCTGACTGAGACCATGTGGTGGCAAATGGTGTTTTTGTTGGTGCGCCAATGGCATGGGAGTCAGAGGAGAAGATGATGTTACCGAGGGCAGCAGTACAGACTGATTTAATGCTTGTGATTGAATGTGGGAATTATTCTGCAGAGGAGAAGATACAGGAAGTTGGGACTGAGGTTGAACATGTGGCATCAAAGCACTAGATGCAGCAAACTGTTGCTGTTGCTGTTGCTGTGGTTGTTGCTGCTGCATTAGACGTTGCTGGTGTAGTGGTCTTTCTTTTGCTAGGCGCATTGCAGCAAACTGTTGCTGTTGCTGTTGCTGTGGTCCTGTAGCATTGGGACCAGGAGGATGAGGATGATGGGAATTGTTCAAACCATGTGACTGCTGGGATGACATTTGATGCTGCTGCTGCTGCTGCTGGGGATGACCTGTATATGTCTGCATGGGCATTGTGGTTTGATTAGGGAAACCAGAACTTAATCCACTAAAAGCAGGAATACCCCGGCTAGTCCCTTGTGTAGCTTGCATCTGAAGCTCT